GAACTTCTGCTCGCATTCCTCGATCTCGGCCTGCCGACTGATTCGAGTCCTCGCTCGGAATTTACTCAAACTATGCCGAAAATTCCCTTGCGAATGAACTGAAGAATGTAAGGCTATGAAAAAATTGGGATAGGCAAGCAAATATCATAACATGATGGGAAAATTTCGGATTCGAACTAATTCACCGAGATAAATCTAATCTAGCGGAATGAAAGGTCAACAGTTGCGAAATAATATAATATTTCTATGGCTTATTTACATCAAATAAGCGTCATCATAGCATGAAATTTTAATCCCAGTCAAGAGCAGGAAGAAAAGTACCGGTGGCTTTAAAGACAAATTTTTACAAATTTTACCTTGCAAATCTTTGGAGAAAAATATGCATTTGAACACAATTTTCTTGTATAGTCCCGGCGATGTCAATGAAATCGGTGTGAATGGGAATCATGAATGAGTGAATGATGATCAAATGAATGACGAAGAAATATTCAATGAATGACTAAAATGATCAATGAGTAAATCATCAATAAATAAATGACTAATTAGTAAATGATCAATAAATAAATGATGAATGAGTAAATGGTCAATAAATAAATGATGAATGAGTGAATGATGACCGTGAAAGGTACAAAGTAAAGTGGGTTTTTCTCTGCAATCGATATGATGCGTGTAATTACCAGCAGAGTCTCGCCCTTCAAACCGGACTGGAACTTACAGAGTTTTATGAACGATCAATAAGAGATGAAGAGATAGAAGTTCGATCGAAAACATTCAAGATTAACAAGGATTACTCGAGACCAAGGGTTTGATAGCTTCAATTGATTCTCATAGTGACCAAAAGGATATGCTTAAATTGGATATTTCGTTTATTTACGCATTTCTAAAAAATTTTACATCATTTTGTTAATGAAATGCTATAGTTTCTAATAATAAGCAAATAATCAATTAATTCCATGAGCCAATCATCAAAATTTGCCAGGCATTTTGCAGGAAATCCCAAGCAATGTAAAATATGTTTTATATTTTAAATTATATTTCATATCTCTCAAAAGTTGTCTTGATTTTTCTAGGATTTACATCTGTGTGAAAAGATTTCTGTTCTTTTCACGAACAAACATCGATCGATTTGATCCTTTTGTATATAATACTAATTTTATAGGAGAATAATAATAATATTATAGGAGGATAATGATATTGAAGAAGTTGTGTATCATTTCCGAATTAACCGTTATTTACGTGACCGAGTGATGAAATCTTATACAGCTTCATATAAGGCAGACGTACCGCGGTATTTTAATCGATATTATGGAACAGAAGTCCAGCGGTATAATGTCTGAATAATAATGGCTGTAATACTTTATGTAAAGGTGTATAGGCCATAATATTATTCACACATCACGAACATGTCGGAAATAAGTACACTATACCAATGATAAATGAAACGGGATAGACCAAAATATTATATATTTGCAACCCTCATGCGCTCAGACTTTATGTTTTATGTAAGGAGCAAACTAATATGTGTGTCACCTAATACTTCAAATTAGGTCTTGTAAAAATGGATAATTCTTTCTGTTTCACGAGAATTAAATACATAATTGTTACATAATCAAATTTAACACGTGTGCTCCAGCAAAATTAAGAGCTTCACGTCAAACAAACGCACAAACACAAGCCAAACAAGCGCCTTCAAGTGACAGGTCGCTAAATTCAGATAAATTTGCTTGAGGTTCAGGCCGATTGAGCGACACTTCCTGTCGATGCCTTTTGCGGTGCGCGGTATCTTTGATACCGAACAACGGCCGGTGAGCGCTGCCGTTTTACAGCGCACACAAAACCGACGAGCCGTGGTAAGCTTTGTGAATGACGGGCGTATGTTCAGCGGCCGGTGAAATACCGGCGTTGGGAAACCACAAATTTTATCAGGACATTTCTGCTTGCATTTACGGCTGGCTGTATTTGAGTACCAAAAACCGTTTATGAAGAATCGACAAAAAATACACTAATTTTATTTATGTATTTGAAAAGACGATGGAATATTTGACTCACATAAATTGTTTGAATTTCGTACATTTAATCGATTTTATCTGCTATCAGTTAATTCATAAATTTAATTATTTATTTTCAATGTGTATATTGCAGCTCATTGGACCCAACGTGGGAAAAAATATTGCTCTTTTCTCAAGTATACAAATGTTCATCAGTTAATTTCTGGCTAATCAATAAATGTTTTTCTACCTCTCTTTTAGCATATAAATTTCGCGGGCAAATTTTTTATGCAGAGCGACAGCGAAATTTGAATAACAATTATCAAAGAACTTCTCAATGGAACGTCATTGGGTCCTATATCCGAATACGAGCTATGAGTGGCCAACGATAGCACAACCAAAATTAGCGACCGGGTAACGAGCGACGGTAATGCACATGTAGAGCATCGACGGTAACGGAGGTCACAGTAACGCTAAGTGTGCTCGTCTAATTTGCTTGAGTGACATGAGTCTTCTTTATTAGATTAAGCGAGCAACCACAACTGCACTCCCAATAATTATTGTAAAGTCACCCACATAAAATAAGAAAAAAAAAGTTCCTCAAGCAGCGTTCCATCCAAAGTCAATTTCCGGAACGTGCAGTTGCTGCCAAACTATTTGATCAGGAAAGAGAGTTCCATTAAAGCAATGACTTCTAAAACCATACGAATTAGTTGCTGTCCCATGACAGACCGAAAGTACTTTCTAGTCCTGTCAGTAATCTGAGAGGGACGGATGAGAAACGGATAGAAGAGAAGGATGTGCTAATGACATCAATGGTACCGTCCTCAGGATCATCATGATCCTATGTTGATTTATAGACGCTTTATTCCTGCGTAATTTCCAAAATTTAGTACATTATTGCTAATTAATACACTTCTGTGTGTACAATTCCTATTTGTTCCTAGTTCCAAAATGTATTGAACAATGAGAGCCTGATAAATTAGAATCACGATTTATACTATCGTTTTGTTCAATTGTATTCATGAAAATAAATTATTTTTTCTAATAATTTCAGAAAAAGTTTTACTGCGGCCTGAGGCATCCAAAGAATGACAATTTCTCTACTCAAAAATCCCACTAGTTTAAAATGAATTATTAATTAACTAAGAGCGTTGCATTTATAGTTAATATTGTTCATGATCCGCTGCCCATTATTTATAATAAGTCATGAAAACACAGTTGTAGCCAATAAAAATATACATGTAATTAAACGCTATTTATTAAATAGAAGAGTTTCATTTCGCTAACAAAACTTCATGATGAATTCCTAACTGAAAGCAGCATAATTGTCCAAGAGAATCTACTACTTAATTGAAGTTTGAGACGTCTGTCTTCATTGTTTTAATTCTTACATGAAAATTCCAATAGATAAATTATTGATGGTAATTAATAGTCATGATAAATGCATGATGTTTCAACGAAAATGAAATATTTGAAACAACTTTGAGATCACAATATGCAAAAAAGTTATCAATTCATTTAACTGAAAAAATTTTTAACAGACAGCAAAGAAATTAAGAGCTCATATATCAATAATAACATTTTATGGTATATAAAACAGATGTAACTGGTATGATAATTAATTTCTGAGATTTCATGTGAAATATGAAATCATTTATATATAATATTTATATTGCGTTTAAAACATAAGTAACTCTTATGATAATTGGCCGCTGAGACTTGTTGTGAAATATGAAATCATTTGTATATAATATATATATTGCGTTTAAAATATAAGTAACTCTTATGCTAATTGGCCGCTGAGACTTGTTGCGAAATATGAAATCATTTATATATAATATTTATATATCGTTTAAAATATAAGTAACTCTTATGATAATTGGCCGCTGAGACGAAATATGAAATTATATGAATATGAAATATGAAATTGTTACGAAATATGAAATCATTTATATATAATATTTATATATATCGTTTAAAATATAAGTAACTCTTATGATAATTGGTCGCTGAGACTCGCGTTAATATATAATTGCCATTGCGCCAAGAGCAAGCAATTTAAGGGCCAATTGGCCATTGAGACAAACAATAGCAACAACTGACATCGGCAGCCCTGCGACACCACCTAAGTGGGCCACAATGGACACAGTTCCAGAAACGATTTTCTGGCCTTTTGTTATGAGAACAATGCGGTAAAACGCGACATGGACAATTGGGTTACACCTTCAGTTCTATGTAAGATTTAGTTGATCGTCGTTGTAATGAACAAAATCAAATAATTATTTATGTTGAGAAATTACGACGTCACTATAGCAAACGACTGAATAGTACGAGATTAATGAAGGTTTTTAAATTTCGTGTGTATTAATGAAGTTGATGTTATGAATACATTTGAAGAACTAATTTAAAAATGTTATGAATATTTTATAAAGATGTATTTTTTACAATTTTAATTGCTATCTATTGCGCATCCTTTTTCTATATTATTATCACATATTCGAACTAGATCATCATCCGGTAATTTTTATACGTTTTTTAACTGGAAATCCGAATCTGGGATTAACATTTCAGTATTTTAAGTTGATGTACTAATTAATCGCTAAGTTTGCACAGTTCACAACATACTTTGAATTAAATAATGATAAATCTTTAAAGTGAATGTTTAAATTAAAGAAAAATTAAAGAATAACCACACAAATCCTGATCATATTCATAACTCACAATGAAACACAATAAAAAACAGTCCTAGTTCATGTTGAAAATCTACTGATATTATCACCGTTCTTTAATTTCTTGGCTTTAATTCATTTTAATTTTGAAAAGAAAGTTTCAAGTAAAATTTCCCTGCATATAGAAAACATTGGATGGCAAAATTACACGTTTTTTACGATGATAATTCTACTGACAAGTTTTCTAGGTACGAATAGCATAGACGCGCGTTAATGTATCCGTATTTAAAAGGTTGATATTAGAATACCGTAAAATAATCTAAGAAGAATTTAGGCGTACCTGGCCGTAGTGCAGTCGCGGTAGAGAATGTCGAAGTGCTGCATCGAAAGAAGCTTGCACCGATTCACGCCAGGCTGAATTGCCCCAAGCCCACGCAAGATCCGAACTTGATCAACATTGCACACTATTGGCTCGATAGAAAGTCTTTTGAGCTTCGTATACACCGTATGCAAACCACCAACTAGATGTTTCAAGAACAGTTCGAAAGCCTGAGGCAAACACAACATAGTTTCACCATTGATAATGAAAGCGGCAACTTTCGCACCCCGATATTCAACGATTTTACACTCATGGCTTTCGGTAGACGGCAGCGGCGGCGGAGAATGATACTGTCGTGGAAATTCCTTGAGACCCGCGAGCAGAGAGGACATGGGAGGCTCTGAGCCGAATTGAAGGTTTGGCATGCCTCCCAAAAGACCTGATCTACAATATCCTCCTGCCAGAGCACCTCCTGGTGGAGAAGACGACGGCAACGGCAACGACGGTGGAAGATGGGAACTTAAACTTTGCACTTGAGACACAGCGGCGAGAAGATGCGATGCTAGGGACGTTGTAGTACATGGTGGGGAAGGACTGTTCCTCTTCAGTAATGTTGGTGAGGAAGAGGAACCTACTACTGATGGGGAAGCCGAAGCTTCAAGCACTGTCTCACTGCTCATGCCGGCGAGAGGTCTTCGCAGCTCCAGCACTGCACACACACTCGCCCTCAGATACAAACTACAAGTCGACAACTGCTATTGGATCGGATTTCAAATCGAATAGTTACAAAAATCAAACAATCAACTGATAGCTGGCTCAATTATTTGCGTTGCGACTGCCATTATGATTGGTTGTTGGAGCTCTCGCTCCAAGTCCTGACCATTCTGATTGGTCGGTAAATGTTCGGCAGGCGGAGCAGGCCTGCGCGAGTGTCGAGGAGGAGCGTCTAGCAGAGTCACTCCTCGCTCGGAGCGCGACTGAAGAGCTGTACGAAGAACGCATCGGCCGGACGTTGCGAGCGAACAGAGCGATATATCGAAACTTTATGTCTTCTTTTGCGCTCTAATCCACGAAAAAAACAAATGCTGGATGGGAGACTAAATAAACATGAAAGAATAATGAAAGTATTCAGCATCCTTCTCAGAAGAGAAGATTTTTTACCAATATTCGCATAAGCAAGTTTCTCACGGCACCCGAAAGATTCCTCTTAACAAATACAATGCCGTTTAATAGATATAGATTTTGCGGCAAATCGAACAAATTTTGTAGACTTTTAATTTCGTAGCATTTTTCAACCACATAAATGAATAGCATTGAGCGAGAATAAATGATTATTGAAATTTAGATTTATACGTCACTGATTCAGAAGCCGAGCTTCACGCCCTCTGCTGGCCAGGGACTGAGTTACAAGGAAGACATCCAGGTTGCGAGGTCCACTTATTTGAAGCTCTTAAACCTATGCCAAAAAATGTTCCAGATGGTTTCACACCTAATAAATGAACACGATTCAAAACTTCATGTTCACTAAACTCAATCTTATTAATGAAAACGAGCGAGAGTTAAGCACTAGAATACCATTGAAATATAAGTTATCATAGCGCCAGATTAAAATTAATATTTCCGATGTACTGATCGAAATTCTACCCAAGAGATTAAAAATTAATATTTGCCAGTGAATAATATAACATTTATTCAACATTTATTTTTATTTTTTATTCGTGATATAAATCCACGAATATTAAATTTTGCAGGCTATATCCCTCGAAGAACTGGCTGGTCGAAATTTTTTATGGCAAATTCATAATACCTTGCTAAGTTGAACAACTGTATTTTGTAAATGATATGCAATAATACAAATAAGTAATACATTGAATATAATTACTAGTATATAAAAATTAATTTAAGTTTTTAACAATACACGTGTCCAAATACTTCCATTCATTGAATGGTGTAAATTCACCCGCAGACATGCATGGTTTGAATTATTCATGATTAAATTGGTATTGCAGCGGTTGGGAGGTCACCGCACAGAGACAATAAAGTGTCGATATTTGAAGGGCGTGTTAAGAGCTCTCGAAATTAGGACAGAGACACTCGAGTGCTCGCCGGCGTTACTGTGTGAGAGACTGGCGAACTCTGTACCGCCCCATGCATGATATGTGATAGCACATGCTTTTCATAAACATGATTTTTCACCATTACTTAATTCTAGTGTAATTACATTTTTAACACATGTGACCATTATGTCTGACAGTGTATTTGAATATTGCTTAAGTTTATTAAGTTATGACATATGTATGTTATTGTTTATATCATCGACTGTTGTCGAACAGCGCGGAATTTCCTCCACCCTGACGTCTATGAAACAAACCAGTGACACTCCCGCTACGTTAAATACCCGTATAATAAATTAAGGGATGGTCGAGAGAATTGAAAACTCTACGGGAAATTGAACTAGCATTTCAATTACCGAAGCTTCCGGTTATTTAACTTTACTCATCTGTCGACAAAAAAAAAAACCTCTGCTCAACTCAAAAATTAAATGAAAGTGAAGATTATGGATATATAAAAAAATATTTGCAAATCAAAAGCGTTGGGGAGGACATGTTTGATATTTTTTGACGCCGCAGTCATCCTATTCCTTGAATTAAAAGTTCACCTTATTTAGATTTTGCAACTCACTTACGAATGGTTAGCCTGTGACCATTACTTTGTATACAGCTGCAGCAGGTAGCTCTACAGCTGCAGCAGGTAGCTATACAGCTGCAGCAGGCAGCTCTACAGCTGCAGCAGGTAGCTCTACAGCTGCAGCAGGTAGCTCTACAGCTGCAGCAGGTAGCTCTACAGCTGCAGCGGGTAGCTCTACAGCTGCAGCAGGTAGCTCTACAGCTGCATCAGGTAGCTCTACAGCTGCAGCAGGTAGCTCTACAGCTGCAGCGGGTAGCTTTACAGCTGCAGCAGGTAGCTTTACAGCTGCAGCGGGTAGCTATACAGCTGCAGCTGGTAGCTCTACAGCTGCAGCAGGTAGCTTTACAGCTGCATCAGGTAGCTCTACAGCTGCAGCTGGTAGCTCTACAGCTGCAGCAGGTAGCTCTACAGCTGCATCAGGTAGCTCTACAGCTGCAGCAGGTAGCTCTACAACTGCAGCAGGTAGCTCTACAGCTGCAGTAGGTAGCTCTACAGCTGCAGTAAGTAGCTCTACAGCTGCAGTAGGTAGCTCTACAACTGCAGCAGGTAGCTCTACAGCTGCAGCAGGTAGCTCTACAGCTGCAGCAGGTAGCTCTACAGCTGCATCAGGTAGCTCTACAGCTGCAGAAGCTGCAGCAGGTAGCTCTACAGCTGCAGCTGGTAGCTTTACAGCTGCAGCAGGTAGCTCTACAGCTGCAGCAGGAAGTTTTACAGCTGCAGCAGGTAGCTTTACAATTGCTTCTGGGCGACACGTAGGATCTCTGAATAGGACTCTTCTCTGCTGCACTATAAAAGCAACACTGTAAAAAAGAAACTCGTGTCTCGAAGGCGGAGTGCAGTGTTATGAGATGGTAACACTGTAGACGCGTATGTAATTATATATCTATAGCAAATCAAGTTACCTTTATGAACGGATAACTGTAATTTTTCATTTTTACATGCTTCAGAACTTGTAGTCATGTCTTTCAAACGTTGTGTTGTAGTTGTGATCCTAGTAATATCATTCTCAGAGATGATGCTTGTGAGAAAGTTTTGAATAAAATATCACAAAAGTCCCGAATATCGGCTGAATATTTCTGAATAAAAATATTAATTTATTCATTTTTGTGTTTTTTTCAATAAAGCCTGTGCGTGTCAATTTGGACGTTCTTGCATGGCCTTCAAAACGCCAGTAAAAATTGAGCGTTCCAGAACAATTGGCTTGCCTACATAATAATATAATGATAATTATTATATTATTACTTAAATAATAAAATGTAAATAATATACATTATAGATTCATTCAACATAGTATTCATAAGGACTTTATTGGCAAATAAAGCGCCTAGCAAGTTCACCAAATATCTTCAATATAATCATTTCAGAGGCCAGCTTCGCCATCAGTTTGAGAAATACATTTTGATTTGCAAATTTAGTTGTGCGCGCTGCGCATCAGCGTACGCCTTAATGACGCCACATAACTTCTAAATCCGGGTTTGTAAACACTGCGGCAGGAATTTTCGTTCGAACTTGCCACTTTCTATTTTTCTCACTCTGCTATGTGCCTTCACGCTGAACTGTGTCTGGGAAAATTTTCAAGATGCTCGGTTCCACTTCTGGTGCACATGGCTCGGATTTGAGGATTTTGAGATCACTCCACTTTTAAACGGAAACTTTGTTATAATAACCCGTACAATTTAAAAAAAACTCTTGAAATTATTAGAAGACAAGTTTTTTTGTTTTCTTTCGTGCAAATTTTGGTTTTCACTTTTGATTGTACTTCTGTTTTATGAGTTTTTGAGCTGATGATGGAGCTGGCCTCCGAAACGTTATCATTGCAGATACAGTGAACTTTCTTGACGTTTTCTTTGCACTTAAATTCCCGATGAACTGGTAAATTGAGGAGAATAATAACATGGGTATTTATATTATACGAAATCGATGTTTGCTCCTCAGTTTCGCCATGAAACTATTGTGTGATTTTTCTACGCCCCTAACATTGCACTGCACGGCTTCATAAAGCAGTTAAATTCATAACCATTTCAACAGCGTTATCATACATCAGAAAGTTATCTTTCCACTATAACAAAGTCGATACTCTTAATAGCGATACTTATCTTCACCTGCATGGAAAGTGACTTTGCTTGAATGATCGTCGCACTAGGTAATGAAGATATTATTGGTACTAGTGAAAATAAATCATTAGTATGAATTGAACTCAATTTTTATGGCAATGAATGAATAGATATAATGTTTTTTCAACAACTTCTTTGAAGTATTATTGAAAATTTGTTTAACCTGTTCCCACGATTCAACATCAAGTTGAATCGAAGAACGTTGGATGCGGACAAAAAAAACCTATTCCACTGCGTTAAGTCATTGGACAGGAAATTTGAAACATAAGGTGCAAGCTTCACTTTAATAAAAGTAACCAATATAAAAAATCTACCTCCTACTGTAGTTCTGAAAGATGGCACAAAGACATGATTTCTTATAATAGACATATTTCATCTGTATATAGACAGATGTATATTATAATAGACATATTTCCATCTGTATATAGACAGATGTATATTATAATAGACATATTTCTATCTGTATATAGACAGATGTATATTATAATAGACATATTTCCATCTGTATATAGACAGATGTATATTATAATAGACATATTTCCATCTGTATAGTGAGCAGATCACACATCACCTTTCAAGAAATGATAAAATATTCCCCGGCAAAATTTCCAGGCGTCCATCAACCATTAGAAATCTGCCCAGCAGAAAATGTTCTCGCACTCAAATGATGACTTTTGAACCTCAATGCTGACTCGTCTGTTCGAAATTTACGGAATCGATGATTAGGTGCCAATAATTCATCATAATGACGACTTTTTTTTAAAGTGATTTGCAATAAATTACACCTCGGGCTCGTCTGACTCGAAAAATATGACTGGGACGAGTGAGAGGCCTTGCACTTCGGACGTTTCTTTCAGCATAATCTCACTTCGGGGCAGTCAATTTCAATTCCGAGCGACTTTTTATTAAAGTGATTTGCAATAAATTACACCTCGGGCTC